ACCATTTAAATTCAACTCAGCCCGATTTTCACAGAACCAACTTTAAAACGAACTGCAGTCGAACTTTACAATATACATTCAGAACTTACAAATAAACATTGGTGGTCAGATTTCAAAGACAAATTGACAGTAAGATGTAATTTTATTGTTGGGGATGGGTTGGTGCTTTAGGGGTTGGTGCTTTAGGGTTTAGGCTCAATTCCTGCAGAAGGGTTACATAAAGTCACAGCAATTTGAAAATTAATTACATGGCTTGACAAAATAAATTCTATTCAGTCACGAAATAGGTAGATGCATTTATTTATAGCACATGTTTTTTTAAGTTTAGATATAGGTAATGAGAACCATATTGGTGTCCTACACAATAAAAAAGCAATATTGCTATTTTGAGGGAGTTGCACAAGTGCACATGACAGATATTGTTTTCTTATAGATACACACCTACTTAAATTAAATGATTTTTCATTTTTGTTTGGCAATAAAGTGAAAGGTAAAAATGCTGAAAAAATCTAAAAAGTTAGCCAATTTAAATAACATCATTTCTATAACTTGCTAAACCTAGTCAGTTACTATTATATCACAAACATCTGTGGACATACACTCATGCCCCTCCTTACCACTTGAGTTCCCACTCACCACATCCCTTTATGAAAAATTTTGGATAAAATCCTATTTTAAAAAAGTCAACCCTATACTTTATATGCTGAACATAGACCTCTAAGATATCTCATGCAGCAATTAGTGGGTGCAAATAATATAGCCAACATCACATGTGTCCATCCAGTTCCATAGTCTACATCAATTGCTATTGCACTTGGGTCCATTGGATTCAATGGTTTTGGACGTATTCTTACATTCACTGGTTTATCTTGTCCATGAATTGCAAGGCATGCCTGTTACAAATGATCTTGGTAATGTTTCTCATGAACAGCACCAATGCACTTGAATGGCACAGCATGGGTGATTTCGTCCTCGTCACTTTCATCCTGATCACTTAACTGGTCACCACTTTCTGCCCTATCACCTTCATTACCATATCCATGCTGACCAGGTTCAAGACCAGCCAACCACTGAACCACTCAAGTAGATCTCTTTCTACAAAATCATAACAAGAAAATTTTTATTTTATTATTTTATACATACACTGTAATCTCTAAAATTAGCAATCTAATGCAAAAGTGTGTCACTATTTACAGTAATATTAGAACAACACACAAATATTATTTTACAGATGAAAATTGAAAAATATACTATACTGTATGCACATATATGTAAAAATCTATCCATACAAACAGGCATCATACTTCAGCAAAAATGTATTAAACAATTCGTTTAACTCAAAACATGTACATATGTATCACAGTGACACAGTACATATACACACACTATAGGGTCAAACTAGAGGCATTGTAAACACAAGTAGACGCCATAATTTTGTACAGTGTATTTATATTAAAAGTACAAGAATAAAAACAACAAAGCGGAAATTTGACTATAAAATAACACGATAACTGTAATGCATTGTAGTATACCAACCTTAAATACTGCGCTTGTTTTCACGTTGATGATACACAGAGATTTAACGCCATCCAACTTAGAAAGAAGAGCCTCGCTATTGGGAATATAAAATTAAACACAATTCCTTTTCTCAGACGGATTATTTGTAAAGCTAAAATGACAGCACGTCCCATGCAATTTAAAAAAAGGTAAACTTGATATAGTAAAACACAAGTCATAATGATGATCGCAACAATACAGCAATAACATGCTGTTTTCACAAAATATCGCAGCCTGACATTCTTGTCGTTCGAAAGCTTCCATATTGGTTTTGTAGTCAGAGAGATGTTCACTCCTCGACAGTCAACAGTCAATGAAAGCCACGCGTGGAATTAGGCGCTCAATACCCATGATGCTTTGCGGCCTGCTGTCCAACCTCCTCTGTCATGGGCCGAATTTGAGAGTTTCAAGAAGCGAAAAAATCGCAGTAAATACCTAGCTATATGATCGAGTCTTCTGATTGGCCAGTAGATTAAATAGGGTAGTCCGAGGTAGTCACCAATCACAATCAAGCCTTTCCCCGTTTTGGGGGCGTTTCGCCGCAGGACCGTGTTGCCATGCAGGTTGCCGCGTGCATTATAGGATTATAACCAACGCTTTTTGACTGCTGAATTTATACAGTTTTGGACGGCTTTTGGTGGCTAAGAATAAGGAGATATGTGAGTTTTGCTTTTTGGAAACATGGACGGAGAAGAGGTAAATAATCAGTTATAATTGTATTGCTTATATGACAAATTGGATCGTTAGATTCGGCCCATGTATATTCGGCCATATTTACAATTTCCAATCTATAAATCACATCTGTATTTATACTCATTTTTGGTTTCATATGGTGTAATGGATGCTAATAGTAAAATATATGGCGTCAGACCTCAGTATTATTTCGGCCATATTTGCAATTTCCAATGTATACAGTATAGGATTGTTTCAACATATTGAATCACATCTGTAATTCTGTACTAAGCCTGTTTTCATACGTCGAATTTTGGTCATTCGACACGACCAAAATTCGACGTATAAAACAGGCCTTACTCATTTTTTGTTTCATATGATGTAATGGAGGCTCAGATTCATTAATATGTAAAATACCTAATCACACACTACCATGCCTATTGGCTATTTAACCATATGTTTATGTAAATAGTGTGTATTATGCACGACCTTTGAAAAACAGACACCTGAAAGGCTACCACCAATTGCCACCGGCGTTGTAAAGAGATATAAACATTAAAGGTGATATAAAGTCTGTTCTCACATACGTTTTGTGCAGGCCTACATTGCAATGGTCAGCCGATCTATCTAATCATATTTTACAACTGTAGCACTGAGTTCAAAATGTAAACAAAGCGTTTGTTTACATTTCAAGTGACTGTACACCATAACCTGCATCACCCGCATACACATATATACATGAATAAAAAATTTGTGGTTATAAATGCTTGGCAACTGGACCTCTGTAGCTAAGCGGTCAGCCGCAGGTTCGATAAGTTCCTGCCGGTGTTGCATTTTTTGCAGCTCCGTCGTCCCCGGTTAGGTAAAAAATTCTATATATAATAATCTATATAAAAACCATCAACATTAATTTCTATTGAGTGAGGTGCACAAAACATGTAATGTTTTATTTCACATGTTTAAATAAGGCGAAATAAATTGTATTTATCACAACCTAACCATTGCTCCTTTTGTACTTAATCATAATGCTATTATCTCTCTTAGATTATCCTGGGCAATGCAACAAAAAGGTGCAAAAGCAAGTGTCCTGCATGTCCATTTGTATATGCAAACTTCTGGAAGCCAAAAAGCTACCCAGAGTGCAAATATGAAATTGGTGCAAGTTTCATTCCCAAGGAGAAAAAAGCGAAAGAAACTCCACCCTGACTGTGCTCATGTTGGTAGAAATGTGTACTCTGTGAAAACAAGCACAAGAAGTGGCAGTTGAAGTATTCGGTGACAAAGTGGTTGCCGGTAGCGCACTTGCCTTTCACCTCTGAGACTGCAGGTTCAAGCCTCAGTGAGAACTTCTCAATGTGTTTTCTCTGGGTACTCCGGTTTCCTCCCACAGGGAAAGTTGACAGGGTGGGTTAGGCACATACAGTAGGTCAGGAGGCAGATCATTAATGAGGTATGGACTAATAGCGGCTGCTCAAGGAGAAATTTGTAAGCTCAAAGTCTACCTCGGTCTGCTTCACGTCAGTCCGGTTCTATCTATCTATTCACAATGTAACCAGTCACTGAAAATCCCTGATAGGGAGTGTGCTGTGAAATATCTGTATCTGTAAGTATGTAAATAATTAAAGCACTTCTGTAACAATAGTTTATATAAAGTGAAATTTATTGTTTGGCTGATGTTTTAGATTTGCCATTTGGGATTTTGTCTGGATTCTATTTTGTCAATGATTTTGTCTGTAAGAATTAAGCATCATCATTAAATTTGGAGGTAATATCGGTCCTTCCAATCTGTACAGACCTTCTACATCTGCAAGATCTCCGATGCTAAGATTGTCTCCATCAAGTGACCAAAACCTTGTTCACCTCCCTGTAATAGAGAGTTTAAGTTCGACTTCCGATACGATACTAACAACATGTCATACACATGCTCTCTGCTCGCAAGAAGCACGAGGACAAGTGTATTGGAAGTCACCACTACCGAAGTCGGCCTTGTATTGGAAGTCGGGGGAATTGTAAGATAAACTCATATAAATCGGATATTTCATAATTTTTACGATAAACATGTAAACTATTTGTTTATTAGCATTGCCAGAATCATGTTTTAGTCGGAATTTTAGCTCAGCTGCCGTTTAGTATACTGCACATTTTCGGTGAAGATTGATGTGTTCTATACTTTATTATATCTGTCGTGATAACTTAACGCTTTAAAATTCCCGGTACCAAAATGAGAACGGAAGTGAAAACATCGGTATTGGTATTGGAAGTCGAACTTAAACTCGGCTCTAATAATTGATATGATGACTTCTGAATTTTCAAAACTAACCCAGCGACAACGAGAACAACTACTTACAGGTGTATGTACCACAGAATACCGCAAAAATTTACATGTTCCATATCTTTTGTCTAATGTATATAATATGGTCCTTGACATTTTTTAGTATATAATCTATCGATATATTTTTTCTTCCTGGGGGTTTTGGGGCAAGATTTCATAGACTTAATTTTTTTTTAATGAATATTCTGTGGAAAAAAACCCATTGTACCACAGAATACCAGTGCAGAGGTAAGTAAGCAATGGTTTATCAAATTGTACCAGGATTTGGTGTGTCCTGTTGTATGATAATACTGTGGGATATTGCTAACTTAATTTAGTGAAAGTTAAACACTAAAGTCAGTACAGAATACCAGGTTTATCAATAATTTTGAAAAATTCGGTTTTTCAATGGTAAAATTGATTACACAGTGTGATTCCAGTGTATAGTAATAATGTTGTGTTGCATAGAAAAAGTATTGATCAACATCAATTATGCTGGTTGGCGAACTTATTTTTAAACATTCGGATTTTACAGGCATTATGCGGAAAAAAAGTACCAAAAATATAGTATTTACTTCTTGTTAATCCTGATTATTTTTAAGAAAATATACATTTTTGTTTTTATATGTCATTTAAGACTAAAACAGAGGAGGTTGGAAGCCCTTCCCGGCATGCATTGTAACTCATTCATATTATCGATTTCCCGGGACGAGCCGTCATTGTTCGACTAGCTCTCGTTGTGTTCGCTACTCAATTTGCAAGGAGCGGTATTCAAAAGTACAAATTAAAAATTGTAAATCATGGCGAATTTTCGTACTGTTCGTGGCAACAAAGCTACTGATTTGGATGGACGTGACAATCTTTATGTACATTGTGTGTCGAAAGAGCGACTGGAGCTGCTTCGTGAAGGGATGTCGAACTTCTAGTTTTATGGATAACGACAAATCGACAACATTTGGCGTAAAAGTTGACTTATTATATGTTCGCCGAATGCGATAGTCCTTCATTGATAGAAATCTATTCTAGTTGTGACCTTAAGGTACGATTATTTTATGATTTAATTGGTGGGAAAATGGGCCATTTATACTCGGAAATCATACAAGACTACAAGTATTTGATTCATGTCAAATGAGTCAAATCTATTTTAATATCATAAAAGCAGGGAGGAGGGGCAAGGGGGGGGGGGCAGAAGTGCACTTTGTGTTATAGAAATTCTGCTTGCTAAATCTTATCTCCAGTTTTGGGCAAAGTCATGAGGTGTGAACTTGAATGTGACCTGATTAAGTGTGTTTGTGCAGTTATAGTTCCTTGAGTAGACTTTATTTCCAGAACACAGAACAGCTATCGTCAATGGAACATGCACACTCAGGCTTTCATTGGCAAGTCAACACATAATTGTAGGTCTATAAAGGTGCCCTTGCCTTTTTATTGTTCCAACGTCGCTGTATAAATGCATCAAATCTTTTTTACCTGTAGTACTTATGTTGTGTTCTGTTGTGGGAGTTTAACATTATTCCATCACCAACTTCTGTAACAATCAGACCACCCAAGCTGGATATTTTAGAGGATATACTGAATGATCCACTACTGGTGAATTTAGATGAGCCATTGTTATGCAATTGCATTAAACAGCCATTAAATCCTATGTGTTTAGTTAATATTCATGGTGAAGAGATGCCTGGTGATGTGGAAAGTATTGGTGCAGAAGGTGGAGTTGCAGACATGGACAAGATTGATGAAATTCAGCAGTTTGACTCAATTATTGGGTGTGGAACAGGCTACTGATGATGCTAAATACATGAATGATTCAAGCTCTGATTAGGAGGATGGAGACAAGGATTCTGAAGGACAAGGATTGTGGAGGAGACACATTGTATCCTGAGAATTAAGACAAGGATTGTGGAGGATACTTTGTATCCAGAGAAGTTTGTTGTAGCTGGTGCCTGGCGAGAACAAAGATACCATGCAACTTGTGATAATCATGTATAGATGATCAAAAAATCTCAAGTTGAAATTTAAAGTAGAACATGAGCAAGACATTTTTAGTTGAGATTTTCATATAAATTTATTCCTATTAAAACACT